ACTGGGCCTTGTGATTCATGTAGTAAAGCAGTTGGCCCTGCCATATATATATATATATATATATATATATATATATATATATATATATATATATATATATATAAACATGTTAAATAGAAAAGAGGATATACAATATCTTAGTCACATCTATAAGCCTTTATTAAGATCGATGAGGAAGGGATAATAGATGAAGAGTATATACATGGGTTGAAATACTTGATTTCTCACTTTATTGTAACTTGACTGTGCTACGATCTATTCGTTTTAGCCTATAATAATTTGACTAGGAGAAAAATCAAGTATACACATATAATTATATACTATTAAAATTACTTTTGAAAACTCTATGGTTAATAATTTGTTGTTTTTCCATTAATAAAACCTGAAGAGGTCAGCAAATGTGCTGACGAAACGTTGCTGAATATAATTAAAATTAAGTGATTTTCAATCTATCATTATTTCCCTTTTTTCCATCATTACAAAATTTATCATTTTATAAGTATTATTATAAAAAAATTAAATTATATTATTTGTTTGTAGATTTTTCAGAGAATATGGATACAGAAAAGTGTACAGTATGCGATGAAGCAATACGTGCGGAGGATGTTTCTAGGAAGGTACATTACAAAGGGTTGTAGACCTTTATTGAAAAAAGTAAAAAAACGGAATGACGGAAAATGGAGAATTTGGGAAAAATGTACTGAAGATCAATACACCATATTTCATGATAAGTGTCGAAAACGATATGTAGCCGCATCGGGTACACCACTATCGCAGAAGAAAAGACCAAGATTGAACGAGCCAGATGTAATTTCAACTGCCAATGACGAGAGTTCAGACGAGTTATTCAATTATTGTGAACTATGCATTTATTGTAAAAACCCATTGGATAGTAAACACCATCCAGTGGGTAAGGTAAACCGCAACATTCCTCAGCAGGCTATTTTTGATTGGGCAAATTTCGAAAATACTCCATATGCCAAAGCAATAGCTAGTTGTTTAAGATTTTTTTTAAAAAAAGACTGCACCACCACTGGGTATTACCACGTTAAATGCCGAACGCACATTGTCATTCGCTCAAAAAAGTCTGCAAGTTCAAGGTGTAGCGATAAGTCTGATAAAGTATTTCAAGAAATTGTAAATTATATTGAAACCAGTGGAAAATATAAGTTTACTATTAAACACTTTCGTAGTATTATGGCAGCAAGTGAACATAATATAAGTTTGAGTAATTACTTCCTACACAAAAAATTAAAAAAGAAGTTTGGTGACGATATGCTGGTTATTAGTAGTTCTGGGCGCTCTCCGGTTTATTTTTATAAAACGACGACTTTTTTCCAAAATAGTAGAGAATGGTTAGCGAACCCCGAATCTCTTTCCGATTTCAATAAAATTCTATTAGACATATCTGCAGGAATTATTAATCGTGAAGTGCAAAATCAGGAGTATATTACAAGTGAATATCCACCAGGAAAGTTCTTCTTGACAAATGTCGTTTCAGACATTCTCAAGTCATTAAAAACTTTTTTTATCCTGCTTACTACCAAAAAAAAAGGAAACCTTATCAAGTCAAGATAATTTAAGACGTGATAACATTGCACATAATATAATTTCAATGCTACGTCCGAAGTCTTTTGTTTCGACGTTGCAATTAGCAGTCGGCACATATATATTAAGAAAGACTGGTTCAAAATTAATTATCGACCTTTTAAGTAAGTTGGGAGTGTCGGAAACTTATCACAACGTTCAGTTATACGGAGCTTCGTCAATTGAAAATCCGTAAGTACAGAAATGTACGCAATAAAATATTGTTCTATATTTGAAGCTGAAATGTGCAATTAAACGAATTTATTTTTCAGATATTTTGTAGCTGTCTGTGAGACTGTAGTACATCTAGATGTAGCAATAGAAAAACCGGTTTAAAATGCTCATATTTTTGCAAAAACTGCAATGGTGAAAGTTGCAACAATATACCTAGTACTAGAATTGATTTAAACGATGAAGCCTTCAATTATAACACAATTTATGAGGACACCGAAAATGCTGCTAAAATCAGAAATTATGCTGAAATGTTGAATGCTACCATGGAAAGTGACGAGGATGATGTTGGCGATATTTATGATTTTGCTAATTTTTAAAATAATTTTACCTTGATTGTTTGTTTATAAGAAAACCGCAGTAGAACCAATGTTAATATTTAATTTGTATAGTTTACATGATTTTTTCAAATAGATTAATATTTATTAATAAATTACATTACTATTTTACTGAAGAATTGAATTATTGATAATGAATATACATATTTATAAAAAATAACTATCGTTATACTCATTGAAACCAATATAAATGTTATTGTGATTACTTATTGATTACTGGAATATTTTTTGCAATTAATTTACTGATTGTTACAACGAAAAGCATTTTGATAAATGTATATAAGTTATTTATTTAAAAATTTACAACCACACTCTGCACGTTGCGTCAATAAAAAGAAATAAGTAAAATTGAAAACAGAAGTTAGCGAGCTACCAAGGATGAGAAAAAAAAGAGAGTGAGAGACAGAGAATAAAATATAGCGTTGGAGTTGCGCAGTAGCACTGCGCAGGGCCAACTGCTTTATGCATGAATCATAAGGTCCAGTACCGCTCGGTCGTGGAAACTCGCTCTAATTTCCTTTCCATTGGACAAAAACTCATGTGCGATGACATATTTGATGTAGAATTTCAATATCTACAACTTTCGTTCAAAACTTTTTTCGAAATTCCGCGTCGTTTTTGAGATAATCGCAAAAAACAAAAAATGTTACCGTTTTTCTCCATTTTCACGGTTTTCCCGGAAAAATTTTACTTGGCCAATTCAAAATTCAAGTTCCTGAGGCCAAAATACACCTAGAAATGTAATTGGCCAGATCCAGCATAACTTTTCAACTTCCTGACCCGGTTGATTGGACCCATTTTGAATATTTAGTTAATTTTTGACATCTGTTTTGCTTGGATGTGTTTTTCGATTTTGCCTATTCTAAAAAATGGATCAAAGAATCTGTATCAAATTTTGTGTGAAAAACAAAATAAAGGGCGCGAACACATTCCGAATGTTGACTGTGGCATATGGTAAAGCTATCTTGGATCAAAGCAATGTTTATCGGTGGTACAAAATGTTCTCAGAGGGCCGAGAAGATGTGAACGACGAACAACGACGTGCAGGACGCCCGAGCACGTCAACAACAGACGAAAACATTGATAAAGTGAAGAAATTAGTATTGGCGAATCGTCGAATCACCGTTAGAGAAGTTTCTGAGGATCTAAACATATCGATTGGCTCATGCCATTCAATTTTAACCAATGATTTGGGCTGAGTCGAGTCACCGCGAGATTCGTGCTAAAACTGCTTAATTTCGACCAAAAACAGTATCGCGTTAACATTGCTCAGGAGATGTTGGACTCGGTCCGTGACCCAAATGTGCTCCAGATGATCATAACTGGTGATGAATCATGGGTTTATGATTATGATGTGGAATTCAAAGCTCAATCATCTCAATGGAAGCTGCCACATGAGCCAAGACCGAAAAAAGCGCGCCAAGCTCGGTCGAACGTGATAGTTTTACTCACAGTTTTTTTCGATTACAGGGGCGTGGTGTATCATGAGTTCTTACCACAGGGTAGTACAGTCAATAAGGAATATTACCTGCAAGTTATGCGCAATTTGCGCCAAGCAATCCGCCAGAAACGTCCGGATTTGTGGAAGAACAAAAACTGACTTTTGCACCATGATCACACATCGTTGCTTGTGCGTGAATATTTGGCCAAAAACAACACAGTAATGGTGCCGCAGACACCGTTTTACCCAGACCTGGCCCCCTGTGACATTTTCCTGGTCCCAAAATTGAAGAGGCCCATGAAAGGACGACGCTACGCCACGATTGAGGAGATAAAAAATGACATCGAAGGAAGAGCTGAACAAGATCACAAAAAATGATTTTTTTAAGTGCTTCGAGGATTGGAAAAAACGTTGGTACAAGTGCATTGTATCCGAGGGGGATTACTTTGAAAGAAATAAAAGAGATATTCATGAATAAATAAATAATTTTTGAAAACATACAAAATTCGCGATACTTTTTGAAGAGACTTCGTATATATTACTAGTAGTAGGAAGCACGGTCACCTAATCGCGTGAAGGTTCAAGAGAGTGGCATCTAGCCTTACTCATGTTATCTCTCTCTTTATCTACTGATGGATCGGAAGCTCCGTGAGCGCCGGGCTGCCTCCAGTAAGGCCCTGGTCACATATGTATGTACATACGCTTGCATACGAATGCGGACGAATAACACGATTCCAGTGCAATCACTAGAAATTCGTAGTTCTAATTATTAATACCAACAGTTGCAACAAATGATTAAATGTCGCTAACTATGAGTAAACAAAATACAGTTTGTTAACCTCAAAATTATTTTACCGTTAACATAATTGTTATTTTTTATTGCATGTTTCTTACCTACTTAATAGCACCACAATAGCACAATTGTTAAAAAATAACAATCGCGTCGACGTTAAACAAGAAGTTATCTCGTATCTCGCTGCTTTTATGCTATAGCATAAACAAACTGTATTTTATTTGCTCAGTTAGCGACATTTAATCATTTGTTGCGACTGTTTGTATTAGTAACTAGAACTACGAATTTTTAATGATTACACTGGAATCGTGTGATGATTCGTCCGTATTCGTATGCAAACGTACGGACATATGCGACCGAGGCCTAATTATGCTCAAAGATATGTATAAACTATGAACACATAACATAGTACATTCTTAATATATTATTATAAGTGCAATCATACATGGGTGCATTATAACTATACGGAGGCCAGTCAAAAACATAATACATATCTCATACGTTCATATATCATATTCTTAATCTATAATCCTCGTTTGAAAAAATTTCAGTATATTTCGAGCCTTTCTATTAATGTTTATACATGTTTAGACCAATCAAAAGTTCACTTTACATGATCACTATAAATCTTTATGATTATTACGAAAAGTGGTTATCAAATATTATATTTTCTTAATTTAAATAAGATTTTTATCTGTTCAATGAAAGGTAGTATGCTGTATAACCATAAATACGTAAATAAAGCAATATTAAAATCTATAAACGATTTAGTGTATAAAATAAACCCGTGACAGAAAAGGATAAATTGTATTTCTTACATTATTTGTAAAGTATTTTATAGTACAGTATTTTGTGTGTGTGTGCGCGCGCGCGCGCGCGTGTGTGTGTGTTAAGCGGTAGATGTACAGGTTCCTGCATTATCATGTTCTGATATATATATTCAATTCCGCAATTTTATATAGTTGAAAGACGCGCACGAGTAACGACGCGAATTTCATAGAAATATTATTTGTTTAATAATAATTATACGCTAAAAGAATACGTCATTTTTATTTAGGTGAAAATTATATATAGTTATAAGCTTTTTTTATGTTGTTTAGAACCATATGGATATGCAGTCAAAACTTAATTTAACCTTATTAAAAAAGTAAACAGGTTAAATTTTATCAAACATTAATAATTTGTGTACATTTCAGGTATCGTTGTGTATAAAAATTGAAAGAAAATGAGTGATTCTGAGGATAATAGTGATCCAAAGGTGACTGGACCAGTTGATGATGCTTGGTCATTGAAAATTCCAGAATTCAAGTTAAAAGATAATCCACATCGTCTATTGGAGGAAAGTGCCTTTGCTACAATTTTTCCTGAATACAGAGAAAAATATCTGAAAGAATGTTGGCCACTTGTACAAAAAGCACTAAATGAGCATCATATCAAAGCTGAATTAAACCTTATTGAGAGTAGCATGACAGTCAAGACTACTAGAAAAACTTGGGATCCATATATTATCATCAAAGCTCGTGATATGATAAAGTTAATGTCAAGATCAGTACCTTTCGAACAAGCAGTACGTGTCCTTCAAGATGATATTAGTGCAGATATTATAAAAATATCTTCATTTGTTAGAAATAAGGAAAAATTTCTTAAAAGACGCCAAAGATTAATCGGTCCGAATGGCTGTACTTTAAAATCTATTGAATTATTAACCAACTGTTATGTATTAGTGCAAGGTCAAACCGTTGCTGCCTTAGGACCATATAAAGGACTGCAACAAGTACGTCGAATTGTGGAAGATACTATGCAAAATATTCATCCAATATATAATATCAAAGCATTAATGATTAAACGTGAATTAGCAAAAGATCCTAAATTAAAACACGAAAATTGGGAAAGATTTCTACCCAAGTTCAAGAGTAAAAATATCAGTAAACGTAAGAAACCCAAGAAAACGACCAAAAAGAAGCCCTATACTCCATTCCCACCCGCTCAACCAGAAAGTAAAATTGATAAGCAATTAGCATCTGGAGAATACTTTTTGAAAGAGGAACAGAGAAGAGCAAAGAAAAGAAAAGAACAAGAAGCCAGACATCAAGAAGCAACTATAAAACGACAAGAACGTAGAGCTGAGGTCTTCGTACCTCCAGAGGAAAAGAAGTACAAAAGAACAAAAACATGATAGAATATACAATATTTATTATACTAATTTTCAGAAATATTTCATTTTTTTATATTTCAGAGTTTAATGAAAATTTGTAATAATTTTGTATTTAGTAATATGCACAACAGCTGCAAAATTACACAAAATAAACATTACTTATAATAGTACATGATATTGTCACGTAATATTTTACTTTGCTAAAAGAAAAAAAATTTAATAATTGCAGATAAATTCTTCATACATCAGAATATCAAAATAATGGCAATAATATAACCTAAATAAGTAACAAGCCATGTTTTTTATCTCTGTATTACTGTTCATTTTCATAACTTTCAGAATAAAATGTATAATAATGATTACTTGATAAAAGTAGAGATAGTTTTTTGATATTTGTAATAATAAATGTATGTTCGTTAAGTTGTTAAGTTATACTTGTTCAAATAAAGAAATCAATGGTTTGTAAATATTTGAAATAGATGGTGTTTTGATTGAATTTTCCATAAAGGTAGAAATTATTTTTAAAAATAATGACAACACAATTTAATAAAAAGGTCCTTATGGAAGTTTTTAAATAAAGTTGCTGTAGATAATATACTGTTTCGTACTTATTAATTACAGTTAGTCACAATTATAATAAATTTAAAACAATAATGAAAGAAACTGCAGATTTCATTTTTTTAAATAATTGTATTTTATTAAAAAATTTTTTATTCGTATTTTGCATTATTACTTTAGTATTTTATGTATAATAATTATAGTACATTCTTAAACCTTATCTTAAAATCAAGATTTTTCATATGTTACAATAATATCCAATAATTTCAAAATCATAAATACCTTATTACAAAGCATAAATGATTTAATGAGTGACTTTACATTTGCTTGAATAGCGTATTACATTAGTAAAGAATTTTGCACCTTGAAGGGAGAGATTTTTAAATATAACAGCATTAATTTCATTCGGACTTTTGTTTGTCATACAAGATCACAATGGTAGATATAGTAATGAAGTCAAACAATTCGTTGATTACTAGCCAATTTTCAGAAGAGCAAAAATACACAAAAAATAAAATGAAAACTACAATATTTCCTGAATGGAAGTTTATTTTACTCGTTCTATCTGAATCTAAAAAAAACAATTGTGTAAAATTATTTATAAAAGTAATTCACTCTATTCAACTTTTCGAAAGTTTTCAGTTCTCAGCTAAGCATAAAATATTTTGATAAATAATTAGCATTCACTGCACATTTTTAACATACATCCTATAGAGCTTATTTTAAAATTTAGCCAGTTTTTTATTTCTACAATAGTTTTACGCGATTTTACAAGTAAAAGAAATCAAGGTAATTTTAACAATGATTTTTTGGTTATAATATTATTTACACAAAGTCACGTATCTAAAAAGACATTAAACTTATTTTGGGAGAAATATATCGTCAAAAGTATAGGTTCAGAAATTGTAACAATTTTGTCAATAAAGATTTAAGTAATGTACACATCTGACTCGGTTCTGAGAGAACGAATTGATTTTTCATTAATTTGTGTATATAAAAGGTAAATCACACATTATTGGTAGATTTGATTTTTTAAGAATTCGGCTTCAAATGCTTTGTTATCACATTTTTTGTGTTAAAGATTATTAATATAGTCTTCAACAGAAAAAATTGTTTACTACTAAAGGATGATTATCAATATATATATATATTGATTTGAATTAATATTTTAACAACGTATTTCTTATAGCATGGCAGTATATTGATAGCATTTCGAAATATACTCAAAACCTTTCCTTTTTTTGTAAATGTTTGTATATTTTTCTTATTTATATTTTGATAAATGCATTAAGTGAAAACCAGATATTAATTTTGAAACGTAAAATTAGCTTTCTATTGAAAAAATATTACGATATTCAACTGAAATACTCGATCATTTCTAGTAATTGTGAAGTAATAGTTTACATTATCAATTGAATTTTTGACCCAAGAAGGCTTGAAGATTGACCAGAAAATATGTAAAAATCTATCTTGTGTTATAATTTGCAATGTGAAACGTACATTATCATGCTTTCAGTCATTTTATATATAAAATTTATATAAAAATTACATGTAAGTAAAAAGTTGGAAGGTAAAATTCAATTAAACATTCAAATTTTGAGAAAAAAAAGTTTTTTCTTAAAAACAACTCTATGTCCAAACTTATATTTTATTAGTTTGAGCAAAATTACTGTTTGATTTTCATCACTTGCTTCAATTAAATTGTGTTCTTAACGTTAGAACTACTTTAGAACGTAGAACAATTTACTTTTGAGACAATTTCGTTTCATATATAGATAAATAAAAAATTTATTTTTGATTTGATAATTTCGCTGGATAGTTTGATATTGTTAGTTTTACTGGAATAAGTTATATAAAGTGACTTATAAATGATGAAACTGTACAATAAAATATGAAAATAACGATTACTGTAAATTAATCGCCTTCGTTTTTATGTACGATGGCAAGAAAACGAATATATACAACGGGAAATAAAAACTTGTATTAAAAATGTACAATGAAATTCTAGTTTATACAGCATTGTGAAAATGAAATTCGATAGAAAAGATGCATTATTAACATTATAATATAATCTTTTTTTACATTATGACCGTGTGATGTATCAGCTTCAATGTATACCTAACAATAAAATACATGTACATAACTAACGTTCTTGTCGCAGATTTTGATTGTTTGACTGATTGATTAATTAATTGGTAGTCTTTTCACATTTATACTATCACGTTGATTTATACTATCGGAAATCAAGTTGTACTGGAAAGCATATGTAAACATCAGTTCCATAATAAATATCATCGAATAATTGCAATACAAGCATTGTTTACACTAGTGATAATAACGGAATATACAAAATAACGAGCCGAATGAAGCAGACCTATGAGTTGGTAAAATCATCCAATACAAGCCAAGTGCGCTAGCGGAAGATATTAATATGGAAGGAAGTGTGAAATGAGAGTTGGGCAGGAAAGGTCGCCTGTTTGCCAGGCTGCGTTTATCGATGAAAAAAGTAAAAAAGGAAAGAGCCGCGAGAAGCGTTGCTCGTAGATCGATCGTTACCAAAGAGGTGTTTGGTAGAGAGGCGAGTGAGCAGTCGAATGTTTGCGCGGAGCGAGGCGGCACGCTAATGATTGTAATTGTAGAGGTGCCATCTCTGGCTCTCGGCGTTGGAGTCGCACTTCTCGGCGGTGACGCCAAGCTGCGCGTGGTACCTCGAGTCGATGCAGACGGGTATCCGCGCGTGCCGGATCAGACCGCCCTCGAGGTGACGCCACTTCTGGTTCTCGCTGCCGTCGCAGATCTGCATGAGCAGCGAGGTGCCTTTGGCGTAGACCGGCAAGGTCAGGCAGAGGTCGTGGTGCTTGATCAGGCCGTCCTTGCTCATGCCCCATTCCTGCGAGCAATCGCGACAGCGGGTCGAGTCATTCTCATCGGCAACTCGAGACCGGCCTCGAGCTCGGCCGCGGACTCACCTGATTGCCGCCCGTGTCGTGGCAGGGGTAAAGGCCGACGTTGCCGTCGAGAAGGTGGCCCATGCTGTCCAGACAGGCGGTGCCTTGCTTCAACGAGCCGCCCGGCCCGCCTTCGCTCGTCGGGATCACCAGTTCCGGGTAGACGTGCTTCAGATACCAACTGAACGGCTTGCAGTGCAGCTTGCGTTTCAGCTCTATCCTGTCTTGTATGCTGAAAGTACGAAGCGTGCAAGGTCGGATCGCCAGAGGCAGCATTTGCCGCGCCGCGTGCGATTGAAAAAGTTTCGCGTCAAAGTCTCGGTGCAACTTCGGAAATAAAACCGGCTCGTGGCACGGTACCAGCACCGAGGCGGGGCTCTACTCACTTGCCGTAGGGAATGTTGCGCGCCAAGGGCACCGCATTGTAGTAAAACTGCTTGTAGTCGTCCATCCAGACTTCGGCGGCACGTCGAGTATTGCGCGCGAATACGTTGCCGCTGCCCCCTGGGAAGGAATACGGATGACGCTTACGGAATACGTGACCGACCCTCGAGCACGGGATGATTTCCAGGCTGCCGCCGCACTGCCACACTCGAAACGAGATCTCTGCAACAGATTATTCCATCCTTGTCCGCGTCCACGTATGATCCCACCGGCAGTTTTTTTTCGCCGGCTTTGCCTTTACAAATTTGCAAAATTACCCAAGTTTTCTCCGCCCCACACGTCCATTTGCGTGTCGTATTTGCCCAGCTGTTCAAAGTACGCCTTGTTTATAACAAACAGTCCGCCTGCTATCATGGGCGTCCTAATGGCCTGTGTCGGATCCTTTTGCCGCGTCTGACGCTCGGCTTGACTCAAATACTCCCATTTAAAGACTAGACTCCAGTCAAATCCACCTCTTAAATCCGCTGAGGCACCTGTGAAAATATCAAATCCCTTTCAATCCTACATTCTTTATCCTCCTTTCCAGTCTAGCGTGTACTTTTTTCTCGACCGACCTACTATACTCTCTCTATGTTCACATTCAAAATTAAGCATTGCGATAAAAAAACCAGCGCCAACTTAAGACTGATTTTAGTTTTTGCCGTCATCGGCAATATTAATAATTTATTGTTCGATTAATTTATTCGGGATAGCGCGAACGCAGTCCCGGCTAACAAAAATTATACGCCCGAGATATCCACATTAGGGATATTCGCAAGGGTCAGCTCAACCGTAGTGCAATGGAAGAGCCTCGCCCTGGAGGAACCGCCTTGGTGATCACGGTAACCTCTGCGCCAGGTAAGTATGCTTGCAGCTCGTTCGGCAGCACATTTAACGCTTCGACTTTGCTATTTCTCTTACGGGTTGTCCAAGTTACACGCGCGACCGAGTCACGAGCCATCTTGCGGACGAATGGCACAACTAGCGAGACGAGCGTCCGCAAAAGCTTACGCTTGAGTGGCGATCATTTTTCATGTTACGCGCTGTCCAAAACTTTCGCTCGTGTTGCACGTTACGCGCGTCAGACTCATTTAAAATTATTACGACCTTTCCCTGATGCCTGACCTACACGCACAAGATAGTCTTAGTTTAGCTTTCAAACTCAAAGTCACATTATTTCTAATATTTTTAATTAACAATCAATATTAAACTATAGGTTAGATACAAATTTTTCTGCGGTTATTCGTACCAAACATAATTTTTCGACACACCGTGCTATTCTAACTTTGCTTAATAAAGTATAATTAACTGTTAGAAAGTTAATGTAAGACTAATTTAAAGTCTACGTATAAACAAGGCTTTACAGAGACTTCCAAAAATTTATTCGTGCAAATATTGAATAGAAAACCTTTAGGCCATTACATGTATATATTTTGCTGGTACGTGTATTTATCAAATGCAAAACAATTGGATCCTTAATATGTCAGTATCATTCATTTTACGTTTTCAGCGTTTTTAACTATTTTCTATCGTTCATATTATTAACAAATACGCTAGACCTTTGAAAATGTTTTGTTTTATTTTAATTCAAAATAAAATTAATTTTGTGATTGGTTTATGTGAGAAAAGGGAGCTAATTTTTTTTTTAAATTAAATTATACATTCATACATTCGTGTTATACGATATCGCAGAAATGCGAGATATATATTTCAATAGTCAATTCAATTTATTAAGTATTGATGTGTACATTGAAAATATTGATTGACAATATATTGTTTGTTACTTGAGCTCATCTATACAATTACCCAGCACCGCGCCAACATTTATCCGTATAAAATATTTTACGATGGGCAGGAAAGTTGAACAAGAATTTTCATTATTTGCCCAAAAAATAGAGATTTTTTTATCCTAATTGACACTGTAGTTGATCGGTCTAGGCAAATAAGGAAAGAAACAATTTTTGCAAAATTAAGATAAAACTATGACAGGCGAAAACAGCAAACAAAGTAAAAATCTGATTTTTTATTAAAATCCTTAAAAATTAATAATTCATTGATTCATGCAGTCACATATTTATAAATTTTTAGAAAATCAAGAACTTCACTTGTAAGCTTAGTGAGGAATTTTTGTCATATGAAACACCTCAACGGAATAAATTCAAAATAATTATTTCCAACCTGAATTATTACTTTTTAGCTATTCGACCGATTCGAAACTATTATACTCTCTTAATGCTTAAAAAAAAAAAAAAAAAAACTAAAATTGTCCTAATTAATAGAGGGGGAAAAAATAAAGCAGAGAATTACAGACCTATTTTATTTATTTCTAATATAGGAAAGATATTTGAAAGACTCATAAATAGAATAGAATGAATAATTTTAAGGATAACAATATGACATTATCTGATAACCAATCGGGCTTTAAAAAGAATATTGGAACAAAAAATGCATTAAAAATGTTAAGTACTATTATAAGTAAAAATGTAGATAAGAGTGTTCTAACGACCGTAGCTTATTTGAATAGGTGAATCATAATATCTTACTGCAAAAATTGTAGATATGGAATAAAAGGTAATATAAAGAGTTAGATAAAATGATGAAATTAGTAGCTATCAAATCACAGAGTACAATAATGGGACCATTTTTGTTTATAATATACTCGTATGTTAATGACTTGTTTGAAATCGAATGAATGTTATTTAGCATACGACTGTGATAATAAAAGTTAGGATATTGCTAAATAATATGGATACATTATTTGAATATGTAGCTGACAGGTTAAATATCAATAAATTATCGTTGAATATTGATAAAATATTCAATATGATATTATTGATAGCTATGTATTCAATTAACATCTTATGTATCTTTTGTGATTGCAAGTGCCGACTAAAGGAATGCAAATGGAATTTTTTATTCTTCTTCAATGTTGAGAATAAAATTAATACGTATGCATTAGCAGAGTTGATACTAATAAGTATCTTGGAGTAATATTTAATTATAATTTTAAATGATCCATGCCTATAAAATACATTGTTAAGAGAATTAAATACTTCATATTTAATTTTTATAAATCAGCAAAAACGCTGCAACAAATATACGTATCATGCATACTTTTGTGGAATTATGAATTATGGAATTCGGGTATGGAGAGGTACTGGAACATGCATTTTCTACCCACTTCCAAATTTACAAAATAAACTACTAAAAATAATTAGTAGAAAGACATTTATAAAGGAAAATTATCCACTGCGAATGGTTAAAAATAATGTACTAGAATTCTTAACTTATGATTACGATAAACTAAGTACAAAATATAACTCATCATACTATTCATGCGCCTACAGCATTAGAATCTTGAAGTTGGCTCAATCAATGCAATGAATAAAAAAAAAAAAAAAAATAAGAAAAGAATAGTATGGGCGGACGCGCTAAATAACGCTCGTATATACATAGATTACATATTGACTCACCGATGTACTGGAAATTATCCATGCTAATGACATCGATAACAGGGCAAACGACTCTGGTCGAATCCTCGGCGACGCGCTCGAGAAGCGGCTCCAACCAATCAGTATTACATTCACAGTGCGAATCAAGGAAAGTGAGCACATCTGCAGTCGCCGCGTCCGCTCCTCTGACCCTGGATCTCATCAAACCCTCGCGTTTCTCGTTCCTAATCACGCGCACTTTGTGAATTCTCGACAGCTCCTCGCCATCCTCAGCTGAAATTGACGTTTGATCGATTAGGCAACGCTCTGTTGACACTTGCCTTGCACTCATTATCAATATTAACGACAACGTTATCTTTCCCCTTTCCCATCGGAATAATATTTTTCTGATGGCACTCATTAATATTATCATGGCAAGTCGTTGAAATGTTGATTTTCAAGCCGTTCGATTAAAGTTTCCGGATCGGAAGAAGCTTAGGCGGAAATTTGTCGTAGCATTGTTAAGTATCAGGTGATGAGATGTAGAAATACTCACGATGATCGCTAAAATCGTCTACCAAGATGATTTCTTTGATTAGATGCTCCGGGCTCCTGTTGAGTACGCTGAAAATAAATGAGAGGCTCGTGGTATGTTCTTGTCTTTTTCAAATGATTGGATTATCAGCGTAGAAAGAACTCGACAAATGCGCGGACGATCGTTGGGTAACGCGTGCGTTGAATAGGAAGCGCGAGTGCAGAGGCTAAGTCACAAGAAGGCGAACTTTCTAACGCGTGCACGAATCGAAGAAAGTGACAGGATGAGTATGAGCTTTCGAATGCAATCTGCGGCGCTGCTGGCGTTGGATCGCAATAGGCGCTACAACGCGAGCTTCTCAACCATTCGAGAGGCATTACTTGCATTATCGATATCAGCGAAGCACTTTCTAACGTTGAACGCGGAGAAGGGGTCCGATCGATGAGAAAGTGCGGCCTGACGAGAAGATGATCCGTAGGTAGACGCACGGTGGGCTCGGCAAAGCGTTGCCCTGTGCACGCGCGTGCAGGGTCCACCAGTCGTAACGGAGGCGGCGGATGAGCGGCCCACTGCTGGAATTGGATTGGAATTGGCCATCTCCTCGGACGAAGGAATGGCGATTAGAAAATTCCTTTGGTTGCCCATCCAAGAGTACGCGGCTGATTTGCTGATTTCTCGCTTCGGTGGCCCTCCAGGGCTTCGCCCCGATTTGGCTTTTTCACATTGGGCTCTATCGTCGACCGAACCGTCTATATACCGCATATACTTGTACGCGCGTGCGCCGACGTGAAGGACTCTCCCGTCGCGCAATTAATCATCGCTCTACGAGGCTGGACATTGAATCGGAGCCACTGAATGGTGGCCAGCGGCAAGTGGAGCAAGCAGTTGCCACGATAATCAAACGTTTGGATCTGACAGCCGCGTATGAAAAAAAAAAAAACGACGAGTTATCTCACCTGACAACCGTTCGCAAGAGGGTCGAACGAGCTTCGTTATGAAAAGTAATTATCACGGAAGTCGGCGGAAGGTCCTGCTCCCATTTCTTCAGTCGGCACCTGCAATCGTAAAAAATACAAAAGATGTTAATTAATTTGATAGCTCCTCGACGAGGAGAACTTTTTAATGCGCTTCGCGAGTTAATTCATTTTTACACGCGCGAGCGCCCGCTGTACATATATAGCTATACCGCGAACGAGCGGAAAACAGTTTGCACGCTTATTCACGAGTCCGCCAGAGCGCGACGCTTTTGCAATCTGCAACGAATCGGCAGCCCATTTATCTCGCGAGCATAGCCGTCGAGCATCTGCCTTGATTCTCAGCGTCGGATCTCAGCGTCGTCCCCAAATATCCCGTAACCGACTGGACTTGCGAGCGCTTGCTCGTCGTTGCTGCCAGTTGCCGTAGCGAGTGCACCGGCTTGGAGTACGAGTTCAGTGGCGAAGCAGCCTGGCGCGCGAAAAATGCAGCGAGCGCAGAAGACTGTCGGAAGGCTCGGCAAAGGTATCGTCAAACGAGCAACGCTTGCACGCGAGACACGCAGCCGCGAATATCCAGCCGCGGGCAAGCTGGAGTCGGTCGACCGATCGCGCTGTTACCTCAGCCGCTTCGGGACTGCTAGCTGCAGCAGAGGCAAAACTGGCTTCTCCGACAATCCTCGGCAAGCAGCCCGCGGTGCGCCGCCTCGTGACCAGCTGCGGTCTTCGACGGCATCCGGCAAAGTTGGCAAGCTCATCGGGGAACCACTGGTGACGCACGCGGGGACACAACGAGGACGCAACGAAGGAACGACACCGTCGTCGATTCGGCGATTCCATCGGCTCGAAATTTACCGGCAGAGCGGGCCGCCAGCGCTAGTCCAACGGTCCGACTCGCGCTGCGCCTTACCTGGCGCGCCGCTCTTATCGCGCCAGCGTTACTGCTCGGCTTTCGGTAATTTCCCGAGCGGAGCCCTGGCACTTCTCTCCGCGCGACACTAAAAAACCAAGAGCTGGCTGCCGCCGAAGGGGCGTAAATAATGCAGCAAGCAGGCCGCGCGGCTTTGCGATCGTTGGACGCACGACGAACGCATAGGTAAACGCTCGCGCGGAGTCGGCGCGGAGCCGGCGTGGAGCTTTGGAGCTTTTACGGCCAGGATCGAGGCAGAACGCCGGGGCGAGCTCTCGAAGCTGATTAATAATTGGGCGACAAGTGGTGCGCGCGGGGCCGCGGTAAAAGGCTGCTCGCTCGCTCGGATGCGCGCACCTGTTGGCCTTAATGCCGGCGCTGCCTCTGCCACTCCAATTTTCATAAAGCTCCCGCCGTAATCCAATACGTCGCGGTGCATTAGGGCCGGTGCTCCGTTCTGTTTCGGGCATGCATCGCCTTTTCATTAGGATCCCTCCCTTTTCGCTTCTCACGCCCCAGTCGCGCTCTAGCACGGACTGTCTCTCCGCCGCTCGCCGGTAAGCAGAGGCTGGCAGGTGCACGCGCGCGCACCAGAGTGCAGATCACGGGGCACGCAGAGGCCATTCGTTGGCCGGGACGCGCGTTCGCGCTAAGTTCGGTAATAGGGGAGCGGCCGAATCGAAAGTCGAGGCAGAAATGGACTGCGCGGAATGGCCGCGGAATTGCGAGACGACGCGACGCATATAATCGCGCGTACAAAGTAGACCTGGCACAGCGAAATGCGAATGCGAGTGCACTCGTGCGCGCGCGCACGCCGAGATAGGCCAACTTACGAGGCTAATTGCAAACTGCGCCGCCTCTGTCTCCCCCTCTCCGGCAGAGCGCTCGGCGGTGCCGTCGGCGCGCCTTGCTCGGTTCGCCCCTCTCGTCCTTATCGTTCCGATTGTCTTGGGCGCGCGATAAAGTGCAATCGCGCGATCGAAAGCGGAGAAGACCAGTGGCAGGGTTTGCGCGCGGGCGATAGATTACGAATGTTCGCAGCGCGCAGCAGCCACGGAGGCGAGAGAAGGGACACCGGGAGCGCGCAGCCTTGCGACCAGAGCGAGCTAATTAATCTGGCGCGCGTGTGTGTACGCGCGCGCAGAAGCAGGGGGACAGCGAAAGAAATCATTACGTTTGGAGGGCGAGCGTTGGGCCGCGCCGTGCTCGTAAAAGCCGGCCATTAATTGCGGGCCAAGCGAGCAGCTCGAGACGACAATAAAGCGAGAGCCCGGCCGAGACGGAAAAGACTCCGTACGAGTCGGCCAAATAAAAAGCGCACGCGTGGCCCCGCAACGTTAAGCCCCCGAACGGTGCCTTCTCCGCGCGGCGTCGTCCTGCAGTTGCGTCGATGGCCGACGCCCGGACGCGCCGGCTCGTAGCTAATAAGTCATCGATGAGCCGCGGGCCCGGGCATTTTTCGGCAGCCGGGTACGCGCAACGGCGAGAGCGTCATGCCCGGGAAAACAAAGGATAGCGGTGCGGCTGCGCTGGCCGCTAGGTTAAGTAGCCTCGACGGCAAACGTAGCGGCCCCCGCGAGTTATGGCCAAGGCGCTCCGCTCTTAGCATTCATGAGGCGAGGCCCATCGCTCTCCCCCTCTCTCTCTCTCTCTCTCCCTCGGTAGCTCGCCTAAGCCTTCCGTGCTACAGTCGAACTTTTGCTATTTCTCATCTCTCGTCGCGTACTCGCTCGGCCGGGCTAGCTGCGCTTTAAATTATCCCGCGGCGCGTCTTCCGTCTCCCCCTACTCCCCCCTGTTTGCCTTTCCAATTCTACTTTGCCGCTCTGCTCTTTGGCGAGCCCTCCCCCTCCGCGGGCCGACCGCCTGTTTTTGCAAGCCGAGTCAAAAGTGCGCGCCTTCCTGCCTTTTCACGGACACTTGCCGCCGAGTTTGACGCGTCCGACACCGAACGATCCATTCCTCCTCGACTGCAGTGCAATCAACGCCGGTGAATTTCCAAACTCCAATATTGCCGTGGGCGCGCATATTGCCTGGCTTTTTTCCTCTGTATTCTGCATCGTTACGTTTTCCCCGCACGCTGTACGTGCCTCCGTTTTTTCCCAGCTTCCGATATTCGCGTGTCTCGAAAGCACGGGAACAGATGTTTATAGCGATGATTCTCCGCCGAATAAAAGGAGCCGCGCGCACGTCGCTTAGCGTTTTCTGCACTCGCCCGCAAAACCGAATATGCGCTCGGTTGTGCAGCGGCAACATCGAGGCAATATTGTTCGACTCGATCAAAATTACAATTCTCATGCTGCACATTTATCGTCGATTCGTCGAAAGACCAGCTGGCAACCCAACACTCTTTGCCAGTCGTGTGCGAGACTCGCAACATTGCTATGAAAATGCATATTCAATCGAGACAACAATTCGTGACATTCTGTACTGGTTAATTTTTAATTGAATGCTTTGCAAATGAAGCGCGCGATTCAGCAGAAATGTACGTCGCTCTAATTACAGTCAGCTGATATCGCTCGTCTATTTTCCGGATAATTTCGCGAATTTGAGGAAAACGGCTACGCGTCAGCTAACGTCAGCTTTTGAACGACCGGTTGTAGAGAGACAGAGAGAGATTGCAGATTTCACTCGATACGGAGCTGCGGACACAAAGCACGCGTACAATGCCACGAAAGAAAGCACGTTAAGGCGCGCGGCTAATGGAATTAGCAAAGCTTTGAGAGCGCAAGCGCGCCGGCACGAGCAAATAGAACAATAGCCGCGAACGCATTGTAGCGCGCAGCGACACAAAGAAGCGAGGCGAGCATTAGAGTAGGCGAAAATTTGGGAGCAAACGTGCAGTGTGTTGCGCGCTTGGACAAAGCGATGCCCCGGGACGAGCAGCTGGACAGGTGCGACGGTGGCTACGCCTGGTAAAGAAGACGACGCGGCAGGCATACGTCGAACACGGTGTGAATGCGGGAAGGAAGGAGAAGACCGAGGGGACTCGAAAAGCAGAAAACCAGTCGCGGATTTACGGATTTACGAGGCGCGAATTTGCGGCGTTTCGCGTCGCCGACCGCCGATGCATAATGTACGGAGCCGCTGCTCGGACGCCTCGACGCCGCGGCGGCGAATTAAAAAGCCGGAATCGAAGGAGCCGTCTCGGGGCACCGACGAACGCCAGCGCGGCGGTGAACAGCCGTTTCTCGCAGTTTGCCGATAAAGCGCCGATAATGCCTGGGCCGCCGCGCAGTTTGTGCGTTTCGGCGCTTGATTCCCCCGCCGAGCTGCTATTTCCCGAGCATAAAGCCGCGCTCGCATTCGACAGCCAGCCGGCTGGCGGTAATGCCCGACCGAGCGCAAAATTGAGTATCGCGCCGCGGGATAAGTCTCGCATTATCTCGTCCTGCCGGCTTGTGCCCGCCTATCGATTATCCATCGACGGCGCGCGCTCGGCGAAAAGGGCATAATGCCGCGGGCTTTCCCCGCGATATTTCGTTTCTTCGGCGGATCGCGGGGACGCGGGGTCCGCCTATGCTTGGCGCGCTCGCGGCGACAGCCGCTGAAACCTTAAATCCGTCGCGACCGTCGACCGCGCGCGCGCCAAGCCGAACGGCAATTTCGAAATATTGACGCGCCCCGAAAAAACCTTTCGGCGACTGTAAAGCAAACGAGCAGCGCCACGTTACGCGAACCGCAGTGAAACCGTTTGCCCGCGCGCCAGCCAACCGCCCGGATTTCTCGCCCGTCAAATTATTCCGCCAGAAATGTCATATTCCTCCCGTTTCCTGTCGTTCGTTCGCTCGCTCGTTCGCAATGTTTATAAGCCCCTCTGCCGTTCTGCCCTTTTAACGCGTTCCCCTGGCTTGCTTATCTTCGAACCTGTTTCTTACTTCCGAGGCGCCGATCGTTGCTGCAAATTCATCTTAAAAGTCTCGTCGTTGACCAATCTTTTCAATTATGCCTAGCAGACTGAAGCGAGAAGGAATCGCAAGAGAAGGCGGCCAAATTTCACATAAGTTTTCTGCGAAGACGTCCCCTTCGCCGTTCACGTTTTCCGAATGAGCTCTCGTAATTTCCCATGCACCCCGCAACGGCATTCGCTTTCAATGATTCTCCACTTGCCATTTCCTCAAAAATTTACTGCCTTATTATTATATCTTTATTCGATATTTTTCGCGTTATCCTTTCCAGCCATTTTTGTACTTTCACATTTCAAATAAATTTCGAGATGTTTCTTTGTTTTCACTTTTCCAGAAGTTAGTGTCTTTCATTACGCGGCCCATCATCTTTACGTTTTCTCGTCTGCTTTCTCTCTCACTCCCCCCCCCCCCCCTCTCTCTTTCTTCGCGCTCCTTCGTCCAAGTTACTCCTGCGGACTCTCTTTGCTTTTTCCCGCTTCTCATGGAAAATCCTTTTTCATATCCTCTTTCCAAGAGCCCAAGGGCTTTGCAGCAGCAACATCAAAATTACATTTTCAAACGTAATATTTGAAGTGCCATCTTGGCTACAGTGCTCCTGAAAAGCCGAGAAAAATTTTTAAATTCAATCAATTTGTAATACTAAGAATTGATGATTTGATGCAATTACTTGGCCTTTGATATCTCGGAAAGCACGATAATTGCAATTTTTACAGTGTTTCGTTTGGAAATTGAATTGTGTAAGCGGAGAAATCAAGTAGTCGATGTCTTTACCTTTGTTTGATGAAAAAATGTTCAGAAAGCATTCGCAATAAAGTAATATAAATTAATTGTTCTGGTTCACGCTGGTTCCAATTTTGAACGGTTATAAGTTTGGACAAAAGCGTTTCACCGTGTCTAATAAAAATATCGTACGTCGGCGTCAGTTATTCAGGACGATGTCAATAACATTATTATTTTTCAATATCAATTTACCGAATGTTTCGTATGTTTACGTAATTACGTTATCGGAGAATTCCTTGCTTGTAAATTTTTTACAATTTTCATAGCTACTATTCAATCATTTTATTTTTTAATGGGCTTTTTACGCAGCTCAGTATGACAATGTTATCTCATTGAGAACTTCTGAGTTATAAAAATTATCAAGTATGAACTACAAGTATTTACAAAGGAACGAGTCAATTAAATAAAATGATGGAAGTAGTAGGTTTACTATTAACGAATAGAATTATTAGTTTTATAAGTAAATTCCAAAATAAAATATACCTCGCAGGGTCCCAAAAAAATGTCAAGTTTTTTATTTCAATGCTATGGCATTTTCAGTAACTTTTAACTTCTAGCGCTTTTTATATAGGTCTCATCGTATTTTTCGTAAAAAATATATTGCAAACACATAGCACAAATTTTGAAAATAACGCTGGGCTACTCTGGGATTTGAAATGAACTTGTGTACTGGTAGTCACTTGATATAATACATGCTTTCGATAAATTTTTCGATGTAAAATACGTTGATGCTGTTGGGTTTATCATGAGATTTACCTAGAAAGAGCTAGAAGCAAAACTCGGGATTTTCCAGTGCTTTTGCGCTGACTCTTTTTAGTGGTTTAGTCCTTCTAACGTTTTTTAAAGTAGAACTGGTGATAAAGCCAACAGTACCATCATATTCTTGATAAAAATAATAAATAGATAAATAAATAAAAATAAATGGAAAACGTGTATCGTGGAAACAATTTTTGATATCCCCCAAATGTAGGTAATGAATACAAAATATCCCAGGTCCGTCAGTCCAAGGACAATTCAATATATTTTTCAAATCTTTTCATATATATATTTACGACGTATTTCTGCGGAGAATGTGATGGTGCTGTTGTTGGAACGATCGGATTCGTATTAAAAGTGCTATTGATACGACAGATCCTGCGAACTTTTATAATGGGCGTGAGCATTTTACGAGAAGCAGTAGAGTTGAAAATAAAGGCAATGCAAGTATTTTACAGAAAAAACTAAAAATTATAACTTCGGCTTATTAAACATAATCTAACTTCCATGCAATCTAAATTTGCTCAAGTTGGCATAGCTGCGCTTCGAACCGGGATTATCCGTTGCACTGCAATGTAAAAGTTTTAAACTGGCGCTGAACTTTATTCCGCTGTAAATACTTGCCTCAAAAAAAGTTTTGAGCTCTGAAATTAACTCGCGAAAATCAAGCTAGATGGTATATACCACGCGAAGGGTAAATAAAGACGCCGAGTTTGATTTCACGATGAGAATTGTTCTGGGGAGAAAAAGTGCACAAGCCGCGGAAAGAATGCTGAAACAATTGGTCCGGTTCTATTGTTGGAGCGAAAATGCCATTGGCATTACTTGAAATTTCACTTGAAAGAAAAATCGATGGGCCACGCGAGGTTGCAATCGCCACAACGGATTGCGAGTGCGAAGAGCGCCAGTCAACAAGGACGTATTTATCCAGCCGCGTAATCGCTTGCAAAAGAGACGAGAAAGGGAGTGCGCGAGCAGCGGCGCCAAGGGAACGCGAGAGCGCTGACGCTTTTGTCAGGCGGACGATTGGCAGTGGAGGAGGCAACGCAAGTCAGAGACGCGGATGAAAAACGGCCGGGACGGCCGCGGAAAGCGAATCCGGGGAAAACGCTTGCGAGGAGGCAGAAGCTTAAGCGAGCGAGGAGCCGCAATCTGGCGATGCAAATGGAAAGGCAAACAACTTAGACGGAATGCAAACACAATTAGCGTCGAGCGTCGAGCGACGAGCGACGAGCGACGAGCGGCAAGCGCTTACTTTTCAAAGGCAGCAAGCAGATTCGGGCGCGTTTGGTATGCACGAGCTAGACAGAGCACTGTATTTTGCGAGCTTCGTCCTCTTGCCCGTGAGCCGCGCGGCGCTTCAAGATTTTCATCGCACGCTATTCCTGCGCCATCGAAAAACGCCAGCGCGCCACAGCGCTACGGGAAGCGCGCACACGGCTCGCGACCTTTAGTAACTTTCTTCGATGGTATCAAGCCAGAGAAGCAGAGAAGCTGCCGCGCGAGTAAAATATCGCTGGTTTTCCTGTAGAAGAACTGTTTACGAGCGCGGTATTAATTACCTGCAGTTGCTGACGTTAACAACTGCCGTTACAACTTGCGGCTACTATTGTGCGACTTTTCGAGCGTACCACGGCCATCAAAGCAGGCGGAAATTCTCATTCTTTTTTACTTTGTCGAAAGTTCAACAACATCCTGTTCCTCGATCGGCTCTACTCCTCCACATTAGTCCGTTGCTGCAATTGTACATTTGTCATTCAATGGGAAAGCTCTTCTGTTTTGAAAGCGCAATGGACCTGATCAAAATTGCAGAAGCGAGAAAGCTTTCGGCCAAATTGGAGAAAGACAAAATACCTTTAGTGGTGGATAATCGAATTCTACGCGAGGGTAGCTAGTGCAGGCAGGCAATTGCCCAGGCTAATGAATCGCATTCATTAGTTCCACCGGAAAGCTCATACAGAATGAATTTTATTGGCTTTAAAGATTTGGAGCTTCCAGATTTTTCCTTCAATTTTGTACGTTTCCGAGATTAATGGCGCTACGCATTAGACGCGCCTGTAGTCGTCGAGGCGACGTTTAATAGCTCATTTTAATAAATAAATGCGTTTGCTCATCGCACATCCGCATCGAGCATCCGCCGTGTGTGTGGTTTTATCGAGAAACGAACAGAAGCAAACTCATTCCCCAATGGATGTTCAATTTGCACAGTGAATCATGAGAAAATAGAAGGTATCCTTTCACAAAGTTTCCGCCCTTCAAATGAAAACGAGCTTTCTCAAGTCTGCAATAAAGTATAGAGTTTAACGGCGTGTCCCGGAACGAATTCAAGTGCGAAAACAGCTTGCTCGATTCCCCGTTCCAACCCCCTGAAAACGACGACCGTATAAACCTGGCTTTTATCGTCGGTATCGACTCGAGCTTAAATGTGCCTATTGATGTCGGTTCACACAGTACGTAAGCTTCCCTTTTCTGCTTAATATCAACAGCGTTCGACGTTTGTTTAACGGGTAACGTTACTTTTTCAACCGACATTTCCACAACGAAGCAGTCATCCGCGATGCTGTCCGTGGCGCAAAGCCAACCAATTTCCAACGACTATTATTATGATAAGTAAGTGAATCGCGCGCCTGCTGAATTATCACAAAAAGCACTGCAGTCGCACGCGTTCCTTAGCCCACTTCCTCGAGAACAAATAGAGAAAAGTCCGTTTCTATTTCCGTACTCGACTATTTTCATAGCAGAAATGCGAATTATTCGCGAATGAATACCAAAGACACGCAGCGATATTTAGTGGTCGTTTGATCGATCGGTCGCCTTCGCCGAGTGCCGAGTGGACATAATCAGTTAATCCGTTTATCCGTCACATTTCAGAGAATCAAACAATATTCACGATGAATGTGTGCGATACTTACATAGCGCTACGAGTATCGGGAATATCACGATTGCTTGGCAGGCCATCCGAAGCTTCTTGATTAAATTTATTCCTGGCATAAGGATCTTCGCCAGCCCTCAGTCCTCCGCGTGCGATGTACCTGCAATTCGTTTCGTTCATCATTCATTCTTGATCTTTCTTGGCTTCTTCTCAAAGTATACATTTTTAATCGGATTGCCGATCAACGGCAGTTTCACGGAATGCATGAACCAAGGCACATGGATTTTTTAATCTTCTCCCTGGGCAACTTTTTCACGGAACTTTTACTCGAGTTTGCTGATTTCTCTTCTTGTCCGAGTATCTCATAATCTAAGAACGAGATCTTCTCTTTCGTGAAAGCTAGGTTTTCCTTCATTAAAATAGACCTCGGCTAGTAGAAATTTCCCATTGACTTTGAGCCAGTTCGTTTTCAGACGTTTCAAGGTTTTTCATCAGGTTTGCTTGAGAAAGTGCTTACATAGACAGACTTGGCTGGAAGGCTAGACCGAGCCGAAAGTGCAAAAGAATTCACAAAAGAAAGTGCAAAGCCGAGGCGAAAAAATGGCTCAAGGGAAAAGGCAGGTCAGATGCGAAATGGCGGTGAGCGGTTTAGGAACAGCATATTTACCCTTGCTCGTCGAAGTAATTCCAGGTGACTCGGGGATCGGCCGTTGGCACGGACAGAAGTTCCGAGGACACGACAACCGCAGTGGCGTCTGCCTCTGCGAAGCCGCCGGAACTTCCGGCTGAGAGCCCCAGTGATGCCGGCTCCTTCAGTCTCAGCGCTCGGTTCTCGTTCTGCAAGCAAAGACACGTCATCGTTACGACACCTCATCCTCTGCGCTGTCCTCGGTAATCGTGGTTTCAGTGGATCAGGTAAAAGCAGGCGCGTCGATCTCGAGGAGATACGCGAAAAGCTGGTTGCTCCGAGACAGCCCTCGACGCGCGAAAAAACGAGCACGACATAAACGATAAGCGGCGGCGGCGGCAGCGACGAGATAGCAAACGGAACGGCGATTGAATCGAAAGGAGGCCGGGCGACGAGGAAAGTCGGCCGCCGCGAGGGAGCAGGAGCAGCGGCTTCTTTCCGCGATGCAATCGCAAAGTTGGCGGGCCGCGCGCAGCCCATTCCGCGGGATGTAAGGCTACAGCGGCGGTCCGGCAAGGGCGCACAATGCCGCTATCGCGGACGTGGACATCTAGCCTTGCTCGCTCCGTCTGGCGCGCTGATTGCGGAAGCGCTGTCTTCTGCAAATGCAGTCCGGCCGGCCTATCGGAAATTGGCCCTTCTTTGCCACTGCGACCAGTCACCTTTTCCATTTCCAGCGCCCATCTCCGCCTTGTCAGTTTGCCTTCGTCGACGGCCAGCAGCGCGTTCACGCGATATTGCGCGCACGCGGCCACGTGCCGTCTAAACGAGAGAGAGAGAGAGAGAGAGCGGAGGCGCGCTCGCTCAATATTAACGAGTCTAGGCAGGAATGAAGAAAAATGGCCTGACTGCAACGTTAATTCGCCAACCTCTCGCGGTTCCGATCGACCCTTTTACCCCCTCTGGCGAAGGGAGCGTCGCTTCGGCAGTCCAAGAAAATCACAGCGCTCGGAGGAAGATGAGATAGAGAGAGAGAGAGAGAGAGAGAGAGAGAGAGAGAGAGAGAGAGGATAGCCAAGTTATACGGGCGCACTTCAACTGGTTTCGGCTGTTTTCGGCAAAGCTCGACTCGCCTCGAAGATAGCCAAGCTCCGGCGTTATCCCGATTTGACGCTCGACCAGGCTTATCCAACAAATAAAATTTTTCCTTGTTCCCCACTCTCTACTGCTCCCCCGATCCAATTGTTCGTCCCGGTATATTTCACTACTAATCCGCTCCAACTACACATAGTTCAGCAGGGTAGGTTCTTCAGAAGCAGCCAGTATATCTCAAACAATCAACGCACATACGTCTATTTTGGTTATTTCTGATCCTCTCTTTCTCAGGTTCGATAAAGTACGTATGAAAGTCGTTCCTGGACCTTGCGGTCGAGCTAAAAATGCAATCTGCGAATGTTTCGTTAGAGCTTGAGAAGATGGTCGCTGATTATCGCGAGAATAGCACGACCCGGCTAGGCCGAGAAGTCAGTGACAAAGTGACAAATGTGCACTTGCAATTTGTAGCTCGATGCTAAAGAAGCAGCAAGCGGAGGTAAGGAGCCGCTCGTAGGCGAATGGACAAGAGGAGGGGTTCGTTGGGAGAGGGCGTGCGAAAGAGAGAGAGAGAGAGAGAGAGAGAGAGAGAGAGAGAGAGAGAGGGCGAGAGCGGCGGCGCCAGACACTCGGATGGGAAATTAATTGGAGCGGTGGCGCGCGGCCAGCGTCGTTAGTCTGCGGTGCGGGCCAAGTCAGTGGAGCGCGGCAGAGCGGCCGGCATAAGCGGTTCGCGCGGTGGCGGCGCGCTCGAGCTTGGAGAGTCGGCCGCGACGACTGCGGATAGCGCCGTTTGCGCCCCGGAGCGGACGACTGGGCGCATCGCGACTCGGGCACCGCGCTAATCGAGCGCATCGGAAAAATATCGACAACTGTAGCCCCGAGTCGCGCTCGATTGTTATTAATGGTTGGAGCTGGTTTTAGTGGGCCCGCGCGATCTCTCGACGTCGCCACCGCCCGCGCTCTCCACTAATTAATCGGACCAAACTTCCGCGCGGCCGCGAATTTTCGCCGAGAGCTATCAATCTCGCGGAGGTCGGCTGACCGCTGCCAATTGGCGGCGCGGCAGCCCCTGCGGATAGAGCTTCTCGGCTCGAAGATCGCCAAAGAGAAATTGGAAATTGCGAGCAAAGTAGCCGATTGTCATTATCGGCATTTCGGTACTCCCGCGCTAATTAGTTTTTGCTAATTTTCACTCGACTGGCTGGCCGTCGCTGGGCCGTCGCTGGCGCCAAAGTGCTCGCTAATTAAAGCCAAGCATCAATATTGTGCGTCGCGACTGCAATGCAAATAGCACAACTGTTGAGCGCCGTCGCGATTTCGGGGCGAAGGGACTCGCTAGAACGTTTGTTTGCGACAAAGCGAGACGGTGCGGATTAAAAGGCAGATGCACATTATTAAGGTATCAAATGGAAGACGCAGCATTCAAATGCGGAGCAGCGAGGGCGCGCCTGAAATTTCCGATATTCGTGCGAGCACAATGCCCTCGCCTCGCAGGCGCTGCAGGCAGCGGCTGCCCCGCGGCCCCGCGGCTGAGAGAAAGCGCGCCCCGTCTCTCGGCGACGGAGGCGCCTCGGCCGCCCCTCCGTCGTTCAATCTTTCATCAATCCTCTTAATTAAGCGCCGACAAAGACGCTGCCTCGCCGTCTCCGCGGCTTCTCCGGCAGTGCCCCGAGCGCTCCGCCTCCCGTCGCCCGCTCTTGCAGGACAAATTATTGCACGCGCCGAGCCCGCTACGCGGACGTCTTATAGGCACGAGACCGAGCGAAGCTTCCATTCGTTCTCGAGTTAGGCATGTCCGAGCGAACTCTGACTCGTTCTACTGAACGACGGAGAGACGCCAGCCACGCCTGCCTTTCTCCTCTTTCCTCTTGAGCTCGGCTCGACCGTTCGTGCGCTCCTGGCTGCAGTCAGCGCTAATTGCCGGCGAAAAATTGAGTTGGAATCAGCCGGCACGCTGCTGCCGCTGCTGCGAATCGTGGGCAAGCAACGCTTTCGCTCGCCTTTTAAATTGACTTGCTTCGAGATCGCGACCAGTGGGATCAGCGAACGCCAACTTGTTTTGCTGGAAAAGAGTTGCACAAAAGAAATGCCGACGTAATTCATGGTAATTGGCTCGACTTCCAGTGAGCGCGCCGCCGCCGCCGCCGCCGCCGCCGTCGCTCCATATTAAACCAATTCTGATATTTCAATTACAGATTGAAATGCGATAGCTACTTCCATTTACCGTTTGGCCGCTCGCTTCTCCAGCACTTGCCAAAACTTTGTTTAGCGACAGTCCATTGACGAGCAATATGGCTTAAGACTCGATAACGCGCTCAGCCCAAGCGTTCGTATAGGAAAAGACCAACGGGATCGAGTCGACGATCGCTAGGCAATAGCATGCGTCCGCCGAGCGTCAAAAATTGGGAATCGATCTGGCTACAAAGGAGCTCGGGAGGAAATGGAATGTTACAGGCGAGTACAGGTGAAAGCAGCCGGTCGTTGCGCTCGCTCGATGTAAATCGGAAGGGACGCTTGGTTTTTCCGTTGGTTTTCGCGGAGGCCGGTCGTCGGCGGCAGCCAGCGCAGCTACAGGCTGCACGCGAGAGGAAGAGAGCTTTTGCCCAGCGCGTCGCCGATGCGGACTTAACATGGATTTACCGTCGTCGCGGGACGAGACGAGGCTGACCCAGTGGGCTCCCGGCGTCGCAGCTATACCCGAATGCAGCCAGGCAGCAGGCTTGCTTGCTTGCTTGCTCGCGCAGCCAACCAGACCAGCTAACGTCTTCGCCCGGCCACTCGAAACTTACTGACAAACGACTGGAGAGCTTCCAGCTCTAGCCTATCCTCCGAGTGCCTGCCTTCTCGCCAGCACTACTCTGCGCTCTCTTTCTCCGACAACTTTCCTACCGAAAGAATTTAATCCGTTTTTCTTATCCTGGCCAATCCCTCCCCTCGGCCTCTTCGCTCTCTTCGCTCTCTTCGCTCTCTTCGCTCTCTTCGCTCTCTTCGCTATCTTCTTCGCTGCCTCTTTTCTTTCTCCCCCTTGCCTTCTCCCGTGCGAAATCCGACGCGCCACTTTAAGATAGTGGCTAATGTCACGAGTTTCTAACGAGGCAGTTTGTCAGTCGACTGGTACAAATATTTGCCACCGCCTGCTTTACATTGACCGAGCTCCAGTTTTTCAAACAATCAGCCCCAAGCGAAAGCGCATTCGGATGGGCGCAAGCTGCAGAGCTGTACTCGCGTGTCTCGAGCAAAAATAATTGCCACGAGAAAAGGTGGCCTTGAGTGGAGCGCAAGTGGTTCTTGGCGCGTCTCTGCTGGCTGTTTAGCTAAGTGCGTCGTGGAAGCGATCGGATTTCGGACGGAGCACCACCAGTGCCGGCTGACAAAGCTGTACGACGGAATGGAAGTAGCTGGGAAAATTGAACGGCGGGCATGGATCTCGACAAAGAACGCTGCTAAGCTGCTAAAAGCCATCGGCTGATGCGCAGCGCCAGCGCCAGCGACGCAGGCCCGTAGGCGTACGCACGCGCGAGTAAATCAACCGCCGGCTGGCTGTGCCTGGCGGGCGTTCGTTGCACAATGGGCGCACGAGCCGGGGGCCTGGCTGCACTGCATCTGGCTGCCGATTAATTCGCCAAGACGCTGTCGGTCCGTCTGCCTGGCCGCCGATAGTGCACTCGTACGCCGAACGTGGCCCTCTTCCGCCCGCGCCACGTCCCCGTCTAGCAGGCGCGCGCCGTATCGTCGGTTGCCAGCGTCAGCTCCGTCAAAAGAGCTCGCAGCCGCGCTTCGATCGCGCAACTGTATAGCTACTCGCGCCGGCTGAGACTAACGCCCTGATAGACCACGCCGCCGTCGAGTTGCGGCAAGCTCGATCTTGCCACGCGCATACAGCCTGCTGAGTGCACTGACGAGTGGATTCCAGCCCATTGGCGGCGCTCGCTGGCGGCGGCAGCCTATTGCAGTCGCTGAATGGGCGCCGCCGAGGAAGGACCCACTGCCGTCGCTATTCGCACTAGCGGCTTACTACTTTCCTCGCTTATTGCGCGAGCCTGGCTGCTTGCACCCACGTCCACCGAATCTAACGGCGAGTGCCGCGCTAAGGACACTCCGCTAATTAATCGCC